ACAGTTTTATTTGGAGTCTGGTCCTAGCCTCGTCACTACTTCGCCGAGATTAGGTTGGACACTTACCAACACATGGGGTCGGTTGTGCTGATACTACGCTCTGTGCTCTTTGCACAGATCCAGGTCTTGGACAGCAGCAGTAGCGTGTGAGCTAGCCTTCAGTCCAGTGAGACACCGAGGTAGCCTTGCAGGCGTCCGCAGGCCCGACGTCTCCTCTATCCTTTATTTTAGTCTGTTATCTCATGTTTCCTAGACAAACATTTTATATTTTTCTTTCAAACGGTTGTATTTAGTACTCTTGGAAGTTCGTGAGTAATGTGACACCAGTTCTTGGGTAGAGGCATATGTTGATTTCTGCATTATTGTTCAGTTTCTTAAATTTACGCCTTCCACATATTTATTTAATTCCGTTGTTCTTCATGTTATAACTGATAGTGGTTAAAAGAAGTAAATTGGTTAATGAAAGAGGTCGTTAAGGGTTGGCTTGCCTAGCTCCCATCAGTAGGCGTCATCATGACTCCCGAGGGCGGGAAATCCGGGTCGTGACAGCAATAGAAGAGCTCGATTTCGACTGTATATAGATAGTCACCTCATTTTTCGGAGAGTAAACGACGAGAAACAATATGAGCCCTCGATCCTCGTCTCGATACTTTGCATTAGAAATGACAAAATGGACGAAATGTCTCGTCAGTCACGTCTGAATGGTATTAAATGTTCGTCAGTTGCTGGTCGGCCACCATAGGCTTTGAACTGCCGTTTGAAAACTATAAATACCTCCTCCTTTACTCATTCAAACTTTGCATCCAACCTTTTCCTACTCTTGCTCTTAAAGAATCTTTGCATTTTCTAGTACTTATACCCAAATTTCTTGAGAGCTTTGTAAAGATTGCCCCTTTGTTTGAACTACCAAGAACACCCTTTTAACTCATTCTTCTTCATCTTTATCCGAAAAATGGCGAAGCCTTCTAAAACTGTCCCTCAAAAAGAAATTACTTTTTTATCATGGCCGGTCGGCGAAGAACCAGCGGCGGAACCTCCTCTTGAAGCATTTATTCCTGGAGGGTGCTCGGTGACCGGCGACTTTAAAGTTGAAAAACCTTCACCTGTTCCAGGCCGGGGTGAAATGATATCGAGATATATTTGCTCGATCACCAAAGAAACCCTCCCTACAATCATAAAGGAATGCAACTGGGTTGGAAAAGACGTGGTGGTGCCCGGCCCCGAAGAAGATATCACTACACACATTAAGGGATATTTAAGTGTTTACACTTATCCCTTCATGTTGGGCCCGTTAGACCCGGTGATCATCCAATTCTGCAAAAGGTACGAGGTGTGCCTTGTCATATCCACCCCTAGTTCTGGAGTATAGTCATTCTCCTCCGATTCTTTGTGAGCAAGATCGACGGGTGCCCTTTCATTGTTGATCATTTGATGCGCCTGTACAGTCCCCGGTTCTTCCGAGGGGACTAATCAAACTTATGCGCCGGGCTGCCAAAGCCCCCGTTTTCTTTAGGTTTTGAATGATGGTCTTGTTGGTTGATTCAGCCTGTCCGTTCCTACTAGGATGATACGACATCGATAATATCCTTTTTGTTTTGTGATCCTCAAGGAACTTCGTTACTTTGTTGCCGATAAATTGTTTTCCATTATCGCATACTATCTCAACGGCTATCTCGAATCGGCATATGATGTGATCCCAGATGAAGTCTATAACTTCTTTCTCTCTGACTTTATCGAAAGTCTGTGCTTCAACCCATTTAGAGAAAGTCATTCATAAATAAAATAAACTTAGCTTTACCTGGGGCCGATGGCAGACGACCGACGATCTCCATCCCCTATTTCATGAATGGCCACGGGGATAGGACTGAATGAAGTTGCTCTCTAGGTTGGTGAATCATCGGCTCATGCCTTTGGCATTTGTCATATTTTAGAACGAACTTCTTAGTATCTTTTTCTATACCGTCCCAATAATATCATGCTCTGATGACTTTGTGAACCAGTGATTCGGCAGCGGAATGGTTCCCGCAAGTGCCCTCGTGAATTTCTTGTAGGACATAGTCGGTGTCTCCCGGATTCAAGCATATTGCTAATGGCCCATCGAACATCCTTCTGTACAATGTTCTATCTTCAGCCAATGTAAATCATGCAACTTTCGTTCGAAGAGTCCTTGATTTCTTAGAGCTCGATGGAAGTTTCCCGTTATTCAGAAAATCGATATATTTGTTCCTCCAATCCCAAGTCAAGCTTGTGGAGTTTATTTCAGTGTGTCCTTCAACTACAGATTTTGAAAGTTGTACGACAGTCCCTAAGCTAATTTCATCATCTTCGACTGATGGCCCTAAGTTTACAAGGACATCGGCCTCATCATTCTGTTCTCGAGGTACATACTGTAGGGTCCATTCTTTAAACCGATGTAAGGTTACCTACAATTTATCCAAGTACCTTTGCATTCGATCTTCTCGGACCTCGAAGGTTTCCTTGACCTGGTTAACCACGAGCTGGGAATCACACTTGGCCTCGATGACCTTGATTCCTAAACATTTAGCCAGCTCAAGACCTGCAATCATGACCTCATACTCGGCCTCGTTGTTAGTCAACTTAGTGATTTTGATAGATTATCTAATCATATTGCCTGTGGGTGGCTTCAAAATGATACCTAGCCCAGACCCCTTCACATTCGATGCACCATCTGTGAAAAAGGTCCACATCCCCTAGGATATACTCAATTTGAGCAATAACTCCTTTTCGAGCTCGGGCACGAAGGCTGGTGTAAAGTCGGCCACGAAGTCTGCTAAGATTTGAGACTTGATGGCCATTTGGGGTTAATATTCGGTATCGTACCCACTGATTTCGATGGTGCATTTGGCCAGTCTGCCCGAGAGCTCGGGCTTATGCAAAATGTTGTGAAGGGGATAAGTGGTTACAACACAAATTGGGTGACATTGAAAATATGATTTTAATTTCCTAGATGCGCTTACTAAAGCAAGCGCTAATTTTTTTAAGTGGGGTACTGGGTCTCCGCTTCACCTAAAGTTCGCTAACATAGTAAATAGGAAATTGCGTACCTTGTTCTTCTCAAACTAAGACACCACTTACCATAACCTCCGAAACTGCCAAATATAAGTAGAGTTGCTCGTCCGCTTTCAGAGTATGAAGCAATGGTGGGCTCGAAAGGTACTGCTTTAGTCTTCCAATGCCTATTGGCATTCCGGGTTTTGAGTAAAATTGTTCTTCTTTATGAGAAGTGAGAAGAATCTGTGGCTTCGAACAGAAGATCTTGAGATGAACCGGCCCAAAGCAACTATCCGTCATGTTAGCCTTTATACGACCTTAACGCTGTCCACGACTGTGATGTCTTCGATTGCATTGATTTTATCGGGGTTGATCTCGATCCCCCGATTTGATACCATAAAGCCGGGGAACTTGCCTGAACCGACCCCGAATGCACATTTATCGGGGCTGAGCTTCATGTTGTACTATCTCAATATGTCGAAGGCTTCCTGCAAATGTGTCAAATGGTCCTCTATGCGCAAGGACTTAACTAGCATGTCATCAATATAAACTTCCATTGATTTACCTATTTGTTCTTCGAATATACGGTTCACCGGTCGCTAATAAGTAGCACCAACATTTTTTAACCCAAACGGCATTACATTATAGCAATAAGTACCGTACTTAGTGATAAATGAGGTATTTTCCTAATCCTCCGGGTTCATTTGTATTTGGTTGTACCCAGAGTAGGCATCGAGAAAGCTGAGGATCTCATGGCCGGCTGTGGCATCAATTATGCGATCGATATTCGATAGTGGGAAAGAGTTCTTGGGCATGCTTTGTTTAAGTCTTTGTAATCTACACACATTCTAAGTTTATTCCCCTTCTTGGGGACTACAACTACATTTGCTAACCACTCGGGATATTTTACTTCCTGGATGGACTCTATTTTGAGAAGTTCGGTTACCTCGTACTTGATGAATGCATGCTTTACCTCGGACTGTGGCCTTCTCTTTTGCCTTACCGATATGAACTTCGGGTCCAAACTCAATCGATGAATGGTGATCTCCGGTGGGATCCCTATCATGTTAAGGTAGGACCAAGCAAAACAATCCATATTTTTAATAAGGAATTTAATAAGTTTTTCCCTGAGCTCGGGAGTTAACCCCGTGCCCAGGTATACCTTTCGATCGGGCAAATGCTCGATCAGTATGACTTTCTCTAGATCTTCGACCGTCGACTTTGTGGTGTCAGAATCATCGAGAATTATGAAGGTTCGAGGTATCATACAATCATCATCCTCGATAATTTCCTGTTGTTCCGATCTGGTCGAGGTCGGCTATTGTGGTTGCTATTTGACATCTTGTTTTTCCTTCGATTCTGGTCCCTTTGCTGATGTTAATGTCGATACCGGTATTACTTCACCAATTGCAAACATCTTTTTGGTTGATGGTTGCTTGTTGTACACCATTTTGACTCCTTCCGGTGTTGGGAACTTCAAGACTTGATGAAACTTCGAAGGTACTGCCCTTATTTTATGGATCCAAGGTCTGCCGAGCAGCATATTGTACGTCATATCTCCTTAGATCACATGGAACTTTGTTTCCTGGATAGTTTCGACCACATTTACTAGAAATATGATTTCCCCTTTGATGGTTTGACTCGCCATGTTGAAACTATTGAGCAATCGAGCCGCATGCACGATCTGATCCTAAAGACCGAGTTGCTCCATGACCCTCGACCAAATAATATTCGCTGAGCTACCTGGATCAACCAACACACGTTTAACTTGAATTTTATTCATAAGGATAGATATTACTAGTGCGTCGTTGTGAGGCTGTTCGATTCCTTTTGCATCCTCATCATTGAATGATAAGGTATCTTCTGGTAAGCAGTCTCGGGTACGCTTCTCCCTTGTAATTGTGACTTTGGTGCATTTAAGTGTCGGGCCCTGAGGGATATCAACCCCACCGACGATCATATGAATCACGTGTTGTGGTTCCTCCTGTTCATTTTTGCCTGTTTGCATCCCTATCTCTGAAGTGATTTTTTGCTCGGTCACTCAAGAACTCTCGAAGATGACCCTCGTTGAATAAACAAGCTAGCTCCTTCATTAGTTGTCTGCAGTCCTCGGTTCTGTGACCATGGGTTCCATGGTACTTGCACATTTGATTCGGATTCCTTTGAGCTGGATTGATTTGCATGGGTCGGGGCCACCTAGTATCTTTGATTCGTCCAATGGCCGACACAATACCTGAAGCATCGATGCTGAAGTTGTATTCTGATAACCGTGGTGCTTCCTTAGACACAACGTGTTTATCTAAGCCATTCTTACTCATAAGCCCTTGGGAATTTCGACCTCGATCATTTCGAATGGGATTATGTCCTGGTCCGTTGTTCTTTTGATTTGCGCTATACGGTTGGTATCTATCTCTATTTGATCGATGCTCTTTGTCGATGTCCCGTTGAATCCTACCTTCGGACCTGTTTGGGTAAATGGAACCGGATAGAGCTCCCAACTGATCATCCTTGACTCTGATCTTCGATTGGTATCGATTAAGCATATCGGCCCAGGTCACCGCTGGATATTGAATCAAATTCTGCTTTAGTTGACGTGATGCTATCGAACTTCGCTCGTTCAAAGCCTGAGTAAAGGCTTGGACAGCCCAATCATCAGTAACCGAGGGTAGGTCCATGCATTCCATATGAAATCAAGATACAAACTCCCTTACCATTTCATTGTCCTTTTGTCTCACTTTGAAGAGGTTCAACTTTCTAGTCGCGACCTTTATTGCTCCGGCGTGCACCTTTACGAACGAATCATCGAGCATGGTGAAAGAATCGATGGAATTGGGCGGTAAACTGTGGTACCATATCATTTCCCTCTTTGATAAAGTTTCCCTAAATTTTTTCAGCAAAACGGATTCAATCTCATCATCTTCTAGGTCATTTCCCTTTATTCCGCATGTGTACGAAGTGATGTGTTTATTAGGATCGGTTGTCCCACTGTACTTGGGGATGTCAGGCATATAGAACTTCTTAGGAATGGGCTTCAGATCCGTACTTTAAGGAAAAGACTTCTGCACGAACTTCTTCGAATCCAAACCCTTTAGGATTGGGGGTGCCTCCTGTATTTGGTCAACTCTGAGTTGTACGTTTCTTCCTTTTTTTCATTAGCCTCGATTTTCTTTTCACCTGATTCTATCTTTTTAGTGAGCTCCTCGAGCATTTTCATGATGGCGGGATCAATTTCCGATCCATTATCGCTCAATTTTTCCAGTTGCGCTATCGCAGCCTGCTGAGTTTGTAGCATGTCAAATATCATTCGAAGGCTAATTCTGCCTTCTTCACCATTTTGTGTATTCCGATCAGCTGCTCGGGCATCTCTGCGAACGCTATTTTTCAAGGTCGGTGCCTAAATATCTACGAATGGAGACATGAGAATTAACATCAACCGGATCCCCGACCTGTGGTGCGTTGGGATTGATTGGAGGTACTCCGTTTCCCAGGGTAACTACGTACTCAATTTCGTCATGAAGACCAAGACCGATGTCAATGTGAGTGGGTACTGCTCGAGAGTTTGACATGTTGATTGTAAGCACGTGATTTTTGCCCTATATGAGAAATACTCCCAAAAAATGCAACATAAAATGATTTTCCTTGGTGTGCAATTTTGAGTATTTTTGTGATATGTTTGGATAATTATTTGTATTTGTCTGTGTTCGCTTATTTGTTAAATTAATAGAAAATATAAAAATATGTCGCATTTTGCATGTAGGATTTAATTCTACAATTGTTAGTAATTAAATGAGCTTTACAAAAATTAAAAATTACAAAAATAGGCATCTTTTGCATTTTTAGCATTTAATGTCCAAATATACAATTTTATGCTTAATTATTACTTAATTGTGCGTTAATTGTTATTGGGAGTTAATTTGCGCTTTTATAACTTAATTTAGTTCTTAATAATA